TAAATATGACATTATGCCGTAAAAGTCAATCAACTCAACAAATTGTAATTTTTTTACTATGTAAAATGCATTTAGATACCATTCATATATTAGTAGCTGAAAAATACTAATAAAAAAATACTATAAGAAAAAGTAAAACTATTAATTTTTTTTATTGAAGTGTTCCGTTACGTTGAAGGTATGATGTTTTACTCATTTACTCGAATTATACGTTATCTATTAATAATAATAAAAATGTTTGCATTTAATCTCAATGTTCTTTTATTGAAATTTTATTAATGTTATATAGGATAAATTATATAAATTGTTTTTTGTTATCTTCTTTGTTTTTATCTTGTATATTTAAAATAATTAATTTTTACGTTTTTAAGTGATTTATAATATATAGTTATGTCTTTTCTAAATCTAACTTTTAACATTTTATTTCATTCTTCATCTTTTTTCACATTTTTTCTCGCTATTGTCTTAAAGAATTCATAATATAGGAGGAACATGACAAAAGAAGATAACAAAAATAGACGAAAATATTTGATGACTAAACAAGTTTAAGAAGAAAATTGGAAGAATATTTTGTAAGAGCTTAGAAGTTCTTAAAAAAGATTGACGAATAATCTAAAATAGACAATAATATATTACATGATAGAAATGAAGTTGTTAGATAAATTTAATTATATAATTATCTATGTAACTATGTAAGTTCATAAATATAGTTACTAGTTCCAATTTTTCTCATTTCATCGTATAATTTTAGGACGACAAATGACATTGTAATAACTTATTAATTTTAATTTTTATACTTTCTCATTTACATTATTTGATATTAAAGTTGTAGAATGTTAGATGCAAATTATAAATACAAAAAAAAAAAATTTAATTATAATCCCGTTAAAATTAATATTTTTTTAATAATTTTTTTTCAATTGAAGTACCCAACAACATGATTTATTTTAGTTCTTTAACTTGTTTTTGTAAGAACCTAGAAAATAGAGTATTAGAGTAGATAGCTGTATTAAAATAATGAGACAAACTCTTTACTTTAAAAATAATCTTATAAAACTTTCTAAAGCTCGGTTCATTATTTTAAACACTTCATCTCTCTAAAAACCTCCGTTCTCTAATTCTTCTCTGCATTCTCTCTAAGATTTCTCTCAACTGAGTTGTCAGATTGACGATCAGGAGGTGCCCAGACGTCCACGACGTAGAGGGCTTCATAACAGACCAATCAATTTCTCGATTCTAGCGGGTAAGTTGTTCATCCATGTTTCACCGTTGTTTTTGAACCTAAACTATGCAATCTCTGCTGGTTGCATGTGTTTGGTGCGTTTTCTCGTCCATTCTCTGTCCAATTCTATCTCTAAGAGCTGTTCTTGATCACAAATTGGTGATTTATAGGGTTTTGTTGAGTTTCCTTGCAGTGTAAGGTACTGTAAAGGTGATCCGATGAGTTGTGTTTTGATCTCTGAGGTAAGGGGAGTTAGATACTATTTTTAAATTATTGTATAAGATGTGTGTATGCTGAGTTGTGTAATAATATGCTGTTTTGAGTATAATTTGTATTTTTGGAGTGGATTGAATTGGATGTATGTGAATGTCTAACTGTAAAAATGTGAATTGATGTTTATGAATTGATTTGGGTAAGATATATTGCTATAACTGAGTTATTAGAGATGTTAAAACTGTTATGATAGTTATTAGGTAGATGATTAAGGAATTTTGGTGTTTTGGGACATTTTTAGAGGAAGTGAAGTAGTGAATTTAAGAATTAGAGGTTAGAAGTTCATTTGGTATGTTTAGGCATTATGGGTAAGTCATTTATGACTTGTATGAGTCTTTCAAATGGTCAAAAACTTGTGCAAAGTGGTAGAATTGATTTTGGGTCTCTAAGTTGTGGAATTGAATGTTTTAGAGTAGGAATTGATTTATAATCACTTTAGATTGGTGGTAAACATGTTTAGAATCACTTAGACAAGTCTAATTAGGTATATAATACAATCTAGGAGTGTTAGAAGTTGGGAGAAATGGTTAGAATTGGTATGTTGTGGTTGAGTTGCATAAATCTACAAAATTTCGTTCTGCAGATTATGCAGACTCGCTATGCGGATAGTTTCGCATAGCAAGTCGCTATGGCGAGCTGCTCTCTGCCAAGGGAATTCACATAGCGAGTTGGTGCGCCGTGCGAATGAATTGAGAGGTTGCTCTGTGTCTAGACATCCGCACAGCGAGTTTGGGCGTTGTGCAAATGGTTGGGGTGAGTTGCTCTTTGCCTAGGGATTCACATGGCGAATCAGGACGCTGTGCGCCTGGTGTTGGTCTGGAGTTATTTCCAATTTTATTCGAATAGCGAAAAGGGTAGCATAACGAGTAGTTTGGGAGGGTTGGTCTCTGTTTGTGTTCTCGCATAGCGATCTAGGGTCGTTATGCAAGAGGGTGAGGTCTGGTACCTCTGTGAGTTAATTCGCATAGCGAGCAAGTCGCTATGCGAGGGACTCCTGGTTTCGCCTTGCGATTTGGGTGCGCAGGGCGAAATGTCTTAATCAGTTGCTCTTTAATTACTTTGTATTGAGTTTGATGAAACTAATTGCTATGTATTATGAATTATGTTTGAAGGTGAATATTAGTATATAATAGAGTATGATTATGAATTCAATTCCAAATAAAAGTATGTGATTCAAAGTGGTGAAAGTAAGTTTCATGGTAGAATCTCTTGGTGAGATTCCTGGTTGTTTAGAATGAATGCAGGAGCTCAGTCTTGGGGGTCATCCTGAAACTTCAATGGTCAATCATTCTCAAGTAGAGAGGATTAAACCATGTCGTGAGGAGTAGTATGAGGTCTTAGTCTTGGGAGCTTTCAGTATGCCTCAAGGCCCGGAACAAACTAACCTCGTGAGTGTGGTAGGGTGAAACCCATTGGCAATGACTTTGCAAAACAATAGAGGCCACCACGAGTTCACGACCCGCCATAGCTCGGCAATCATTCTAAGTCCGGACGAGTCGTGTCTAAAATATAACATGTTAGGATGTGTAAACTAGTATACTTTGTTGGAGTGAACTTTGTATGTTACATGCTATTATAATTGTATGATCTTTGTATATCTAGCTTACCCTTTTGCTTGTGTTTGTATGTTGCTCGTGTGGTGTTTTCTTTTGCAATGATCATCCATTTGGATGTGAGCAGAGGTAGACGAGGTGCCTCTGGAGCAGGCTTTGGAGGGTGATGACGCTGTTGTTTAGTTTAGTTAGGATCTTCTAGTTGTTTTGTAAAGTTTTGAAATACTCTATTGTAGATAAAGTTTTAAATTTTTAGCCATTTTGGATGGTTGTAAGCTTAACTCCTTAACTGCAAGTCTTTAACTGTTCTATCATATTATGATGTTGACTACTATTTATATATTTTATACTATATATTTTTGGATGCTAGAGTTTTGATATATAGATAGATATTATATATTTTACATAATGGAAATTGAATAAAATTAAATCATTGTATTTAACATTTTAAAAGTATAATGTTGCTAAATTAAGTCTTTTTTTTATCTTGAAGAATGATTTTGTAAATTAACAAGTTATTAAAAGTTTTTCAGTAATGTTCATGTTTAACATCGCATTTCACATTAGATTACAACTTAAACAAAATTACAGCTATTGGAAGACTAGGCAACTTTTGTTAATGTTTAAAACAAAAATTGAAAAACATATTTTATCCTTTTCAAAATATATACAAGAAAACATGAAATATTTTAAAATATAAACGAGCAAGATCTAATATAAAAATTAAAGTACCTTTACATAGTTTAGCTTATTATCTACTATCATATTAAGTTTGATATAACATAAAAATTACATACTTAAATATCATAATTTCCGGATGTTACTGGTATGGTAGTATCCAAGAATTTAAATTTGAACGTAAAATTAAAATTTATTTATATTTTAAATTTTGATTTTAAATTTCAAAAATAATTATGTATAATTCTTTTAACTTAATATTATTAATTGTTTTACATATTAAATAATATTTTAGACTAGTATTTGAGATAAAACATGTTAAATAATCAGTTAAAACATTATTATTCATTAAAAAAATGTAAATTCTTTTGATTAAGAAGATTATATATATCTGTTTTTAAAAGTTATTAAGAACAAATTATATTAAAGTTTATGACTAAATTATATTAAAATTTAAAATAAAAACGAGTTTCAGTTTTATATTAAAGTTTAAGTACTAAAACATATTTAATTTTTTAATTAAATAGATATTTATGCAAATATTAAATTTTATAGAATTAAATGATTTAATAAATATATTTTTATTAAACACGTAATACTTCTCTTAATTATCATATATGATATTTTTGTTTTAAATTTTAATGCAATCCCATTATTTATTAGAAAAACATGATGTGATCTTTCATTATATTAATCTTACTGTTATTAAAAGATCACGAGAGTATGAACTCCTTTTCGAATAAAAAAATATATATCACCCTGTCAAATTATCTCACTATAACAAACGTTAATAGAAAAATAATATTAAATTATTCTAATATATATTAAGACAACATTAACTAAAAAAAATTAAACAGTTAATATAAATACGGAAATTAAAAAAGGTATTAAATCTTATCATTGCAATTTTATTTCAAAAGACACTATATTAATTATCTTGAATCTTATCATTACAATTTTATTTTGTTTTTGTATTTTATTTGATGGTCAGAAACTCTTTTTGAGAACAACATCAAGAAATCAACTTTGTTTAAAGAATGTCAAAATCTGATTCAGTCCAATTCCCTCCTTTTTGGGATTGAGATAGAGTGATTACAGTTTTAATAAAACTTATTTTAAATTTAATTATAAAAAGTAAAATAAATATGAAAGGTATCACTCAATTATAAATATACTAAACAAGGCTTTAATCATAATTATAATTGTTTTACATGATTAAACCGTTACTGAACAATGGAATTAAGGCGAAAATAGTAGATACGTTATCGTATACCGGAAACACCCCTTGTCTTCGTTATCGTTCAGGTAGAAAAACGCGCAAGATAAAGGGTAACACTCTCACTGGTGGATCATAAAGAGAGAGAAAGAGAGAGAAAGTTGCAATGGCGAAAAAGGCAGTGTTGATCGGAATCAACTACCCGGGCACCAAGGCGGAGTTGAAAGGTTGCATAAACGATGTGCAGCGGATGCAGCAGTGCCTCGTCGAGCGTTACGGCTTCTCCGAAGACAACATCACCGTGTTGATCGACACGGACGAATCGTACACGGAGCCGACGGGGAAGAACATCCGGTCGGCGTTGACCTCGCTGGTCCGATCGGCGGAGCCCGGAGACGTGCTCTTTGTGCACTACAGCGGACACGGAACGCGTCTTCCTGCGGAAACGGGAGAGGATGATGACACTGGATTTGATGAATGCATTGTTCCTTCTGATATGAACCTCATCACTGGTTGGTTACTATCTGGATCCGTTTTTAACTCTTTGTTTTGTTCTTTTCTGGCTTTTTGCTGTGTGGTTATGATCTCTTTTTTCGGGATGGGCTTTCTTTTCTTTTGGACATGATTGGGGAAGATTATTTTTCTCAGTTTCATCTGCTTTCGAGGTAGAAAATATAAAATATAAAACTGTTTGCAGTGTTTATTTAGAACAAAGCTTGAAATTTGTGAAAAAGAAAATTTGAAAAAGTTAATTGTTTTTTTAATCTGAAAGTTTGTGATTTACGATTCCTATTTTGTGTATGCAGAAGCGGAATTTATGTTACTTTCAAACAAAATTAATTGTTTTTCAAGTACCTCTAGCCGAATTGATCGAAACAAAAATTATTCTGATTACAATTGATTATATTATTGATTATTGACATTGAACTTTTGTAGTTGTCTCAAAAAAATTCTGAATTAATGAGTTGTTTGTTTTCTTTTGTTTTCTGGGTTTTGAGATGAAGGAAAAGTTGAACTAGATCTGATTGTATGCGCGTGAAAACAGTGTAGATTTGTGACACCATTTTGGGGGATGTTTGATTTTATAAACGGTTGATGTAGTAAAATGCATCAAATTAGTGCCTTCAATTTATATAGAATTTTTCTGTCTGTTTACACTATGAACCAATAGCAAATCACCCCTTTGTATTAACTTTTAAAAAGATTGAAACACTTTTTTAGATAAAAGTTAGAATTTGTTTGAGATTTTCTCTATTGAAGATAAATGGAACTTTTTTTCATTAGAGAAGTTTTCAGAAACTTCAAGAAATACTTTTAAGTTTTGCATCCAAATAAACACTCAGTCCTTAAGTAAGTAATCTATGCATTGATTTTGCAATGTCCTTAACAATTGGTCAAACATGACAACTTTATTCACGTTAGCAATTACTACCTATCATGTACGATATTTTATTAGTTATGAAAATTAAATTTTCCAGTGATGTCACCCATACATAGACAATGTGAAGTTTTTTCTATAATATCATCCAATTATAGAATATTTTATAATTAAAATTACTAGGATTTTGTAATAATTACTCTGCAATCATATCGAAGATGATTTCTGACCGAGTGACGATATAATTTTATAGATTATATTGACAGTATATGAAAATTAAACTCTTCTTACTGACGCTTGTAATTTCATAGATTAAATTGATTTATTACTCCTTTTACTTTAATGGGTGGTGATTACGTTTGTCTGAGTATCCGGCAAAGTTGAGACCAAATTTGGTCTACCTTGGTCAGAAATGGAAAACAGATGGATCTGTTTAGTTAGTAAAGAGCAGATCCGTGTTTTTTCTTCAGCCCTGTGTTCATGCTGTGTTTGTTTGAGTAATTCCAACTTAATTGGAAAATAATGGCAGTATTTTTGTTTTTTTTGGCACAACACTATTGCATTGGCTTGATTTATTTGCGAGTGATACACTATCTGTGTAGGTCTGTGCAAACAGATTATGATTCAGGGAATTTGTTGAAAACTGATTCATGAGATCGTATAATTTTCCCAGGTCAAAATCATTCTTCATTTTTATGTTAATAGCTTACTTAATTCAAACATAGTAGAAGTAAATTGTTATGTTTGAGATGGAACATTGTTGCATCGGCATGATTTTTTTGTGGGAAGTAACAGGCTATATGTGTATGTCTGTGTAAACAGATGATGATTTCAGGGAGTTTGTGGATGGAATCCCCAGAGATTGCAGGATCACAATTGTGTCTGATTCTTGCCACAGTGGTGGCCTACTTGAAGAAGCTAAGGAGCAGATAGGAGAGAGTACAAAGGGAGAGGAGGAAGAGTCTAAGTCTGGCTCTGGCTCTGGCTTTGGATTTTCAAATTTTCTCCATCGGACTGTGGAAGATGCCATTGAGTCTCGCGGATTCCATATCCCTTCAGGTTTGCGCCACCACAGAGGCAGGGATGATGGTGATGAGGTTGAAGATAGGGATATTGATCTTCCACATGGGGACTATGGCTATGTAAAGAATAGATCTCTGCCCCTTTCAACCCTCATTGATATACTCAAGCAGAAAACTGGGAAAGAAGACATTGATGTTGGGAAACTCAGACCTACTCTTTTCGATGTCTTTGGGGAAGATTCTAGTCCCAAAGTGAAGAAGTTCATGAATGTTATTTTGAATAAACTCCAACAAGGAGGTGGTGAAGGTGGGGGTGGAATATTGGGGTTGGTGGGTGGTCTTGCCCAAGAGTTTCTCAAGCATAAGCTTGATGATGATGAGGGATACGCCAAGCCTGCCCTGGAGACACGTGTGGAAAGTAAGCAGGAGGCATATGCTGGATCATCCAGACACAGCCTTCCGGCTGGTGGGATTCTGATGAGTGGATGTCAGAGTGACCAAACTTCCGCAGATGCAAGTCCTTCAGGAAACGCTGCCAGTGCCTATGGAGCTTTCAGCAATGCAATACAGGAAATAATTAAGGAGAGTGATGGTGCAATCACAAACCACGAACTTGTTCAGAGGGCACGGGAGAAGCTCAAGAGGACCGGTTTCACTCAAAAACCTGGACTCTACTGCAGTGATCACCATGTTGATGCTCCTTTTGTGTGTTGATCTGTGCTTTTCTTATGCAGAGAGAAAGAGAGAATAATGTCGTTTACTTGTTTATAGTGTGCTTGTGTATTGCTGTGAAAATGAAGTCATTGCTTTCATACAGTTATCATATGCTGCTCTGCTACCAGGTAAGGACTATTTAAAATTGTAGTGTATTTGTTGTTACATTCATTGTGCTGAGTGACTGAAGTATCAGAACAAGGTTCATGCACCAAACCTCAGATTTTGAATCTGAATACTTTGGTATACGTGAAATTATTATAAAATATAGTATTAAATTTTGTGTCGTTCGAATTATTCTGGCATCTTTGTATGGATTTGAATTTGTTGAAAAAGGTTGTATGTTATATAATGTTCAGTTGTATCTCTTTCTTTGTTCAGACGTTCAGAACAAGTTTGTATGTTGTTCAAACTCACTACAAAACAAGATTGATTTGAGACTTGTTAAATTTACACTGTACTAAAGAACTTATGAGTATGACATGCAAGTTTTTGATAATATAACATGTTCTCCAAAATTAGGAGCAGCAAAACTCACAAGTTTTCAAGGATAAATATTCTAAAATTTTAAGTAGAGACAAAGGAAAATGTGGGAGAGATAAACACTAAATAATATAATTTTAATCATAACATGATTTCTTAAAAATTCCCTGAGATAAGATGAGGCGAAATCTTTTTTTTTCAACTTTTACTGGTTTTCTTGTATTGACAATTAAAAATTAACTTTTATATTATCTTTATTCGTATATATCTTGATGTTCTAACGTAGGATGACAATTTACCCCCTTATGTAGTTTCTTGTAAATAAACACATGAAAATATCCAAATCTTACATTAGATTGCAACTTTATTACACTGTTTAGTATTTAATGTTACTACATTTTCGTCATACTTTTACCATCTATTTTCTTATTCCTTAGAAAGGCACGTAAGCATTCCTAAGTACTTTACCTTCATCTCATTTTTACTCTTATTATAAGTTAAATCATATTTTTTCCTCTTTTATTTATAGGTTAAAATATTAATTCAATTTTTATTTTCGTTTGATTTTGTCAATTTTGTTATAATACTTTTTTTGGTTTAATAAGATCTAAATTTTCGTCAATTTTATTCAGGCTAACATCGTTTAAATAATTTTTTGGTTACTCTTTTTAATATTTAATTTTGTTTGCTAATATTGTTAATTTTTTTAATTTTTCTGAATTTAAGAAAATGTTCAGGTATGAAGTTAGCATTATGTCACGTAATAGCATTGTTACATGCCATGGTTAGTGTCACGTGTTAGTTTCTTGTATTCAGTTTGATTTTTATATTCGTTATTTTGTTCAATTTAGTTCCAATTCTTTTAAAAATGGAGCAATTTTGTTTCTTTCCAAATTCACTACCAAATTAAATTTTTATATAAATGTTATACTGATTTTTAGGCTAAACTATTTCATTGATTTTAAACCTAAAAATCACATAAAAAATTAAATAGTTTATGTGATTTTTAACCTCTTTAAAATTTTAAACTAATGGTGTTGGTCTCCACTCCTAAAATTTTCATTATAATTTTAAACTAACTCTATCCCTAAATTAGAAATATTTAATAAAATGTAATTTTTAATAAAAATATTAGTATAACATGTATATAGAAATTAAAATTAGTCTCAAGTTGAAAAGGACAAAATTATTCTTTTTTTTAAATGCGATTGAATTAGAAAAAATAAAAAATATAGAGACCAAATTGAAAATACTAAAACTGAAAAGTGTCACCGATATCTTGTCACATGCAACGATGTTTGGCTTGACATATGGACATTATTTTAAATTAAAAAACTCACGAACTAATACGTGATATACATTCTTTCATATCCATTAATTATTTAAACGACAATAGCAAAAAATACTAAATTAAACAAAAATAACAAAAAAAATGAGACATGGACCTTATTGAAAAAAGATAATATTAGAATTAAATTGACACAACCGAACAAAAGTAGAAACTAACTTAATATTTTAACCTGCATTTATATTATTTCAATTTTGAAAAGCATAAGAATGAGTTGAATTGTGTTTTAAATAATTTTAAAGTTTTATTATAAAGGAAGAAAAACTACTATATGTAATTTTGTAAAGATAACGGACAATTATATTCTAAATCTGATTATATATAGATGATTGAAAATCAAAGAATTTATATAAGTTTAAATGTATTTTTATAAACAATTAAAAATAACTTGGGATTTGTTTAAACAAATTAATTAAAGCATAAATCATCCAGTTTATTTATTAAAAAGTCAAATTCCATCACGCATTAACAAATACCCCTATCTTATAAGAGAGTATTATTTACTTAGGTTTTCCAAACTAATTTTGAAAAAGATTTTTCAAGATTTTACACAATACTAATATTTTTTAAGAGACTAGTCATTCCTTGTTTAATAAGGATTATAATGTAATTGAGTCATGCTTAGGTCATCCAAAAAGATAAAACTTAACATAAATAACATAAATATAAGGTAATGTATATCAACTTATTTGAGTTTCGGAGCACCAAATAGTACCTGAACGATTTAGACAATTGAAAAGACCAAGCCCTATTGAAGATTATCACCCGACCTTGGATAAACATTTCCCGACTAGACTTAGGATGTTAAGGGTATGCACTGAATTAGAGGACAAACAACCTCCAAAAGAACAGAGGATAAAAAATGAGAATAAAGTTTTTTCCCCTTTTTTTCATCAATAACAAGTAGTTTATAACTTAATACATGTCTTCATAAAATGACAAATTACAAATCCTAACAAACTTTCATTCTAGAATATGCTGACATATACAAGTCCTTAATAATAAATAAAACCAAGTATTTCTTTTGTTTTGTGAGTCATCCTTTTAGGCCTTGCATTACCCCGGTTGTGTTTGCTGCAAAATTTGGGTTTTCATATCTAGCATTACCATCTCCTTCGACAATAACCTTGTCCTCAAGGTCATAAGTTTGTTGTAAAGTGATCCAATCCTCCCACAAAGTATCATCAGGTGAGAGACCTTGCCACTTAGCTAAAGCTAAACGCTTGGGAACACAATTGACAGTATTTGTTTTAAATCCAAGGATGGCAAGAGGAGTGACCAATGAATTGTTCTCATACAAAATAGGGTTTAAGGGGTCAATAGAGGGTGGTAATAGCCCTTCATATGCCTTCAAAACAGAGTAATGGAAGACATTGTGGATCCTTGAAGCGTCAAGCAAGTCAAGTTTGTAAGCTACTGGACCCATCTTTGCTGTAACTTGAAAAGGTCCAGAAAAACGCTTTGCCAATTTGTGAAATTGGGACCCCAAATCAGATATTTGCTAGTAAGGCTGCAACTTGACATGCACCCATGAACCAACATCAAAGTTGACCTCTCTACGTTTCAAATCAACATTCTTCTTCATACGCTTCTGGGCCTTAAGTAGATTACGTTTTAGTAGGGAAAATACCTCTTCACGCGACTTAAGTAAAGAATCACAACCCTCAATAGTAGAAGATCCCGCTAAATACTCAGGAATAAAGGGAGGAGGCTTACCATACATCACTTGAAATGGTGAAATCTCAGATCCAGTGTGGACTAAAGTATTGTAGTGGAACTCGGCCCAAGGAAGGTAACGAAACTAGTGTTGCAGCTTGTCATGAACAAAGGCCCGCAAGTACTATTCAATTGTTCGATTCATAACCTTCGTTTGCCCATCGATTTGTGGATGTTATGAAGAGTTCATCTGAAGCAAAATGCCAATGAATTTGAACAAATCCAACCATAAACGATTCATGAAAATCGAGTCACGGTCGGAAACAATACTCTTAGGTAGTCCGTGGTATTTGCAAATTACCGAGACAAACAACTCTACAACTTTATAAACCGTGTAGCTAGTAGGTAGTGCTCCCAAATGAACTACCTTTGAGAAATGGTCCACCACTACTAAAAGGACAATATAAACCATGAGAAGGAGGAAGGCGTATAATAAATCCATGAGACATCCTCCCAAATGTTGGAACGGATGGGAAGTGTAGTGAGAAGGTCGTTAGGACGCTTGGTGCTATACTTAGTTTGCTTGCACACCCGACATTGGGAAATAAAGTGGCATACATCCTTAGCCATTGATGCCCAATAAAAATTGGCACTGAGACTCTTCAAGGTTTTGTTCACACCTGCGTGCCCCACGACCATAGTCTCATGAAACTTCTTCAAGAGGAGGATGATAAACAAGGAAGCAGAGTTCAACTAGATTTTCCCTTTGAACAATAGTAACCCATCCATAACTTTAAAGTGGGGGCATCAAATCAAGATCAACAATGCATTTCTGGCACAAAAGGACATAATCCTGATCTGCCAAGAAGGATTTCTTTAAAAGGTAGGATCACTTTGAACCAAACCCCTAAAAGTAGGGACCAAATGATGTATTAAACCTTGTTCCAACTAAGATATCCTAGTTCATTAGAAAGATGACTGAGACTTCCTGAAAAGTTCACGTTCTGAAGTTTAAGCAACTTAAGGTGTCTAATTTTTGATAGACCATCTACCCTTGCAGTTTCAAACCTCGAGTGTGAATTAACAACTACAACTTCAACTTCAAGAATTTCAGTTGTCTACGCACAAAGAATAGAAATGTTATATTTTTCATACTCTAAAATGATGGCAACATAATTTTTTTTTAACTGAATCTGTTAATTTTATTTGATTCTTCGACACAGCTTTGCAGAAATCTTGGTAATTGCACAACCTACTCCTCTTCACCGGTTCCTTAGGAGATTCTTCTTTGACAATACACTTGCCCAAGTCCTTCAACAAGTTATGCATATAAATAAGCCCATCCTCTTTTTTATTAGTGATTTGTGATAACAGTTGAATTTACCGTTATTTGTTATGCTATTTTGATATTAAAATAATCCTTTTTGACTTTGAAGCTTGCTTAGACTCTTGTTTTAGTTGAATTTGATAAATAAGTGAATATAAGTTATACTTTATGATTTTGATCACTAATTTCCTCAATTTTGTAGGTTATTGGTATGATTGAAAGAGAAGCAAAAGTATCAAGGAGTTGGAACCCAGGAGGGACATCATAAGCACTGGGAAAGAAGGCTTAAAGAAGGCTGAAGAAGTCTCGTAAGGGCGCTTGGTTACCCCCATTTGGGGCGCTGAGCGCCACTCACCTCGTAAGCACGCTTGGGCACCCTTAGTAGGGGCGCTGAGCGCCAGTTACATGCACCGCAAGACGCCTGCTCGCCCTCATTTGGGCCTTCAACGCCAACCTTCTCGCAAGCTCACCTGGTTGCCCCACTTAGGGCGCTGAGCGCCAGCAACGTTGGTTCATGATCCAATTTTGATCTATTTAAGGACTTGTACGC